GAGTATTTATCAAGTATAAAAGTTTAATGCTTGTTTAGTCCGATACACTTAACATAAAATATAAGTTACAATACAGCCATTTTGGCTAACATCAACGAACGTACATTTTACAATACGAACATAAGCGACATCTATGATATCTATAACCATAACGTCAATGTTTTAAATCTGGTTATACAAGATGCTTCAACAGTTTTCACTGGGAATCTAAAATTAACGGGGCTGAAATCTTCCCTGGCAAGAGAGCATTACGGCGGCTGCAAAAAAAACAAAACTCCCTGAACGGTTTGAATCCAGATAAATTAATTACAAAACTATGTGCTGAGTGGCGGTACAATAAAATATAAACACAGACAACTCACTCCTCGAGCAAATAATTAAATTCCGGTACTCTTTCGTAACGAAGCGACAAACTCGAACCCGGGTGTTCAGCAACGCTGGTCGACTTCACAAATATACAGTGCGGTCATAACTTCGGGTATGAACTTAAGGGCGAAAAATGGGTGCTTCGTTACATATGTAAGAACCATACTTTATGGTAGTCCTTATTAACGAAAAAGTAAAATATTAACGCAACCCCTATTTGATAAATGTAGCAAGCTGAGGGGGCAAGTATGCGAGATTGTACATAGATGAGTGCAAGGGCCTTAAGGCAGTTACGTGGCGTACGCGCTCTGGTCACGATCCTAGGGGATCCTAAGTAGGTCATGGAAAGTATTAGTGAGTTTGGCGTAATTGTCCTTTTAATGTAAGTGACTCCTACGTGAAGGTTGTGAGCTAATAAATGAGCAGCGACTATTGTGCTCCTAGGCTCCGAGAATGCATAAGGAGCATGATCATGATGATTATAGTGATGAGTGATCTTAGTCGCCCGAATAGGTCAGGGTGTCGACCCAATCGGAGACCACATTGCTAGCAAAAAGAATTCAGAGGCGGTGCGCGTGCCCCTTTCTCAAGTAGGTATGAGCTCCACCTTAAGCCTTCAGGATATCGTCTCCTACGACACGTTAGACCCCAATTGCAGTGTTCGGAGATCCAGGATAGCTTAGCACTAGCTCGAGACGGGAGGCTCCTCGGTGAGTTACTTAATGAATTGGCGATGATCGTGGAGAAGCAGTCGCGATGCTTTTTTACATGGCCCTCGAGATGTCCATGAACTTGGCAGGCCTACTACAGCAGACCATGGTTCTGCTTACTCATATCGTTAGTGTTCCGTTAGTGCACGTTAGTGCCGCTGAAGAAATCGTTAGTGCACAAAAGGACACAAAAGGATCCCTTGCAGCAGTAACGTTCGAATGTGAACCACTAACGAGCCGCTTCAAATTCGCATTAGGACAGGGCCAATTTGACAAATGTGCGTCTGCTGCATGAAATTAGCAGACCCCAACTACCACTAATACTTACCGGTCGATTAAAGTAGAAAATCAAACGGATTTCGTTCGTTGGTCTACTGGCGTAAACTTGGCAGGTCTCAATATGTCAAGTTTAATTTTGAGGTGGTTTGGTACCTTTTTGGTGTGGATCGCTTGCAGCACTAACGTTCGCATGCGAAGCACTAACGAGCCGCTTCAAATTCGCATTAGGACAGAGCCAATTTGACAAATGTGGGTCTGCTGTATGAAGTTAGCAGACCCTTTTTTACAACGTTTTGAGCTGTTACACTTTGAGCACTAACCTTTATATTGGCGGCACTAACGAGCACTAACGCTGCTAGTTCAACTAGTGTAAAGATTGAATCGATTTTCTCAAATGGGTCTGCTGGCATGAAGTTAGCAGGCCCACAAATATTTTTTAAAAATAGTAAGTTTCCTTTTGGGTACTAAGGATTTCTTCAGCGGCACTAACGTGCACTAACGAAACACTAACGATATGAGTAAGCAGAACAATGGTCTGCTGTAGTAGGCCTGCCAAGTTCATGGACATGCCCTCGAGTGCAAAAAGACGACCAGTCAGGCTAAATGCTGCCATGTCGCCGTTATGGTCGGAGTGATCGAGAATAGAGGCGTTTTTCAATCCATGCGTGGTACCAATTAATCAGTTTGGGATGTCTGATTTAAAATTTGAAGCTACGGGCACCGTTAGTGTATATAGAAACACCGGCTCGAAACAGTATCACAATTCCTACTTCAACATCTTTTAAAACAATGATAGCTTGCTATATGAAGGAAATAGTGTTTTTATTTAGCTTTGATGATTTTGCATTTTGGAATTCATATAGGTTCATTGTGTAATGTAGTGTCACATACCTTTCAGCGAGTACAGTTTTATTGCACAAATTTGTAGTTCAATTTTTGCGTACCTACCTAAGTTTGTGCTGTATGTAACAAAAGGTAATATGCTTAGTTGTAATTGTAATTCTTCGGCCTCATTGTAAATTGTATCGCCTTTAATTGCTTGTAACTGTGGGTAGGTAACCCTTGAGCGAATTTGCTTGTTTCACTTTCTTATTTTGATTTGTTTAAGGCGCCGCTGCCAGAGTGGTGGGGGAAGCTTATTGCCTTTAGTGCCAGAGTGGTGGGGGAGCTTATTGCCTTTAGTTTATATTGTTACCATTTCAAAATCAGACGGATAACGGCAGATGGCGCTAATGTTGTCTGAAAGCACTGTTAAGTATCTTGTTTTTATCTCGAAAATTCGCCGCGTCCTTCGGAAACTTTCGGAGACTTTCGCTATATTTACAACAAGCACGTACATTTGTAGTCGGGATATAAATAAAGAAAACAAGATTATGCTAGTTGGTGCATGACATCACGCTGACAGAACTTTAACCACAGCTTACTTGATAGTAAGTAAGCTGTGCTTTAACATCGGGATTCTGAATTTGTGTTTTTATGATTTAGGTGAAAAAAATGTATACAACCTAAACGCAAAATATGCCAAAAAATATGAAGAAATCGTTAGACCACCTTTAAAAGTGCTATAAACTATAATTGAGCGCACTATAAACAAGAGGAAGTACAAGCGTTTTTCAAAATATGGTAGATACCTACTTATGCTAAAGTATCTAAAAATTTTGGAGTAGATTACTACATAAAATCTAGCATAAAATATTGATTCATGTAGGTACACAAGTTATAATTAATTGGATGAAAAATGGATTCGATATATTCTTTTCAATAGTAGACTTACACTGGTTTGTAATTACATCCCTACTTCTAAAAAGAACCATTTTTAAAGGAAAAAAGCACGAAATAAAAATTGCACGCCAAGAAACAATTTGCTAAGCTATGTGTACCATAAACCTGCGAAATCCTAAAGCACAGTTATTTTTAGAACAAAGGGCTACTGTGTATTGTGTTGGTGTAATTCACAAGCTCCGACCTTGTGTGGGTGTTGATTGTGATGCGATTTCTTTGACTGTCTACTTTTAGTCCAGGAGGCAGCGACATTTTTTATGCACTCATTTCTATAAAGTTGATATTCTGCGATTTTGATAGTACGAGTAAACACAAAGTCTACCACCCACGCAAGATGCATAAAAAATTATTCAATTGAACTTACTTCTACAAAGATGAAATTTTTGTTTCAAAAAGTTGATGTCATTTCAGACACACAAAAATTTGTCTACCGATCGCTGATTAAAATACTTTAGAAAGAAATGTGGCGTTTGCTTTTTCGGGACGCTCACCATCCCTACTGACAGGGGCACCTCCTCACATATCGTATTTTGGCATAATATGGAACCGACTTGGGACTGGGAAATACCATACTAAATTACTAAGCAAATTGTGGAACATAAGAAGTTTATTTTCATATATCGCGTGCAGTGAGATGTCATATCATATTTAATTGCTCTCATTGCGAACTATTAGATTTCGTTGAGAAATGAATGAAGGATTAAGCAGCAATGCCGACTTCCTACATCATAGCACAGAATAAAATCTGTGATCATAGGTAGTAAAGTCATTGTGACTCAGTCTCAGTCTTGAATTTTGCGTGTTGTAGCGTTTCTTTAACATTTGAATTTCGAAAGTTGGAAAATTTTTAACATTCTCCCCTTTAAGAAACTGCTCCGTTCGTCCCTTCCTACTGCTCAATTAACGGTTCTGAAAAAACGAAAACGATGCCGAAATCTTTACATTTACCCTGACCTACAGCGTCGCGCTCGCGGGTTCTTTTTGCCTTATGAACGAACGAGAGCGGTAACTACCGTGGTATGTATTTAAATTCAAATGAGAACCCGCCATGTTTCTCCGCCATCTACAGGCGAACCACTGCACTTACGTTTCGCTTTCGATCTAAATATGGTGGGAAACACCACTAGGGTCACTTTATAATGAAGAAGTTTCGTACAAATTTCCTTTAATTGACCATAAAATCACTTGAAACTTATGTGTTATCTTTGTAATGACCCCAAGAAGGCAATGACGAAAATTCATGGAGATTTGATTTCATAAAAAATTAAAATTGCCCATTTTCAAAAATGTAATTAACCTATTTATAGCGAATGTAGATCGATGAAAATTCGTTACCTCCTGCGCTGGTCCTTGCTAATATAAAAAAAAATTGGGCTGATACCACAAACGGTTTTTAAAAATTGTACGAAAATCTAAAGGCATGTTTTAAGCGTGTTTTCTACACTGATCCCCACCACTCCGGCAGCGCGCTCTTAAAGTTAGTTTGCGTCCTCGTCCTCCGTATCATTTTAGGTCCCTAACAGTAGAAAATACGCGCGCCAAAATTGTTGGACGATCCTGCGGAATAAACACCTAAAGGGCAGGGCATATTCCGCATATTTATTATAATTGCATGTGCCTTGAAATAAAATTTGTACAATTTGATAATTAATGCCCGTGTAGGAGAGATCGTGAACATTAAAACTTATTACCCAGTTTCCTTTTAAATCTAAAATTCTATAAATAGCCGTCAACTCTGTAAGGGATCACCGCAGCTCTCGCTGTTTAATGAGAGAACAATTCACATTTGTCGAATTGCTTTGTGTCCGTAAGAAATTAGCAGTTTTACGTAATTGTTTGCTTTTCAAATTAAAACGGATAGATAAGGTTCTCAATATAAGGTTATTTCTATAAGTAAACGGCGTCGATTAGTAATTATGTGTTATCAAATGTACATAAATGATAAAACCACTGGAAAGATATCGCTGGTTTTTACAACATAAATTTATCTTGTCGCGTTTATACATTTCACGAGCAGCGTAGTCTAAGTACCCGCTATGTGGTAAACAAGCGCAATAATTTAAAAGTGTAATGAAAACTGAAAAGTGTGAATATTCACGAGTGTAAGTGATAATAAAAAAATGATTGATCATCAGTTTGCCATAACTTGCTAATGCGGATAAACCTTTAAATTCTATTTTCATTATACCTAAAATATATATAAGTTTATTTCCAGTTACAATGTCCAGTGATAAGTGCATCCTGTTTTAATCAACAGTTCTGCGCTACATCCTCTTTTGTGCTGCATCAGGTTTTTTTCAGTTTTTTCGGTTACAAGTTATTATGAAGTGCGGTTTACTAATTTTTATGCTTATCAGTACTTGCCAGTGCCAAATTGGTGGATTATCGCAATATCGTAAGGACAGTGCGTCTGGTAGTTCAAATTGTATACTAGGTAAGGGCCGCATATCAGTTATATAGTAGGTAATTTTTGTGGTAATGAACGTCTAATTACGCGCATATTCTGTTTAATTAACTGTTTTATAAAACACCAAATTAATTGAGAGTCTACAGATATTTTTAATTACACAAACAGTCGCTGAATTACTTACCTACGTAAATACCGAGGTAAATACATGGAAATTTACGAAAATGTGTACTATGTAATATATAGAATCTGTAGTTATATTCAACCATACACCAATTAAATTGGTCAATGATTCAACACAGCCGTTGACAGCAGAAGCGGCTATAATTTCGTTATCTATGTTGATGACCGGTAGATGGCGTATTTCAAAATCATTTTAAAAAACGATCAAAGCTCGTGTGTTGGAATTATAAAATGGCAAAACTCACTATTTAATACATAAAACTAGAGACGCGGTGATGGTGAGGGGCATGCCCCCCTCCCTTCGTTTGCTAATTTAATTTTTAATTTTTTTACTCGGTTTTTTATATAAGTTACAAAATCCTAAGACATTGTCTGACCAAAAGTATTTGTTAATTAGGCCTTATTAATTAAGGTAAACAACTTTAAGGAAAAGACGAGGGCAAATGAAACTCTCAATTTGAGGTAAACTGTTGTCGGAAATTCCTCTGCTAATATCACAAACCGTTTTCTAGTTTTTCTTTGATATGGAAAATAATATTTTTTTTTATTATTCGGGGTATTAGAGCTATCGTTGAGACAAATTGACGCCTCTAGAAGAGGGAACCCACGCGGCTTTTAGATTATAGGTATCACCATAATTCAATGGTATCACTACCACTGATCTATCAGCAGCGGTCATCTGGCGACCGATTTTGTTTGTAGTTGTGAATGTGTAGGTAGTTGATGCATGTTGTATATAGGTAGGTAATTGTTGCATATACTTCAGTAGGTATTAATAAAATTAATAATTATTGTCTACAATTCGAATAATTTTTTCCCGACTCGAAAAAGTACCGAACGATCCTCGAGATCTTTGATTAAGTATTCAACGCTCGTTACCCAATTATCTTGTCAAATAAAAAAACAGTTTCGTTACGCATGCGCAAAAGAAATGTGTTCCGGTATTGTTTTTGTTATATTCAAGGTACATTGCGATCAAAAATGAGTGACCGTCGAGTCACCTTTGGAATTTTTGTTTACATGGGAAATCGTACTTAACTTCAACTTTCAAAGGCGACTCGACAGTCACTCATTTTTGATCGCCCGATATATCGATACAGTGCGATCGTAAATAGTTCCCCCTCCCTTCTAAAGTGGGTACGATAAGCTCGGATTTAAGGGATCGATTTGAAAGTTGGGGGCTAATTATGTAAGGTGTAACGGGTGTATAACTACTTTTTGACATAAAATTTGACAGTTCTAACTTCCAAAATGACGACTGTACGCCATTTTTCAATGGAGATCTCATTTTGAAGTCATTGTATCCATAGTTCGCGTCCCGAGTTTCAACTCTCGCTACTACACTCTACTACTTTTTTCCTCGCTTTTTTCTCAGTCAGAAATGCAACACTCGAAAACCGAGGTAACATAAACATTTTTGTAACTTCGTCAGGTTGGAATTTGTTACGCTCCTTACCTTCGATATGAATTTTTTAAATTAAAAGATTGTATCAAAGAACAGTAAAGTCGTTATTTTATTATTTTTGTTACCTTTTACACGCCCTGTACAATGTATATAAATACAGGGTGCTCATGAATTCTATGATTCTATGATCGTTATTGCAAAATTGGGACGGATCATGTACATTGTTATTGTACTTTATTGTAATGTACAGGGTGGTTCAAATTCGTGGATCACCATTGGAATCTCCGATTCTCCGCAACCGTGAGAGATACACTGTAGGTTAAATTGGATCAAAGTTGCCCTTTTTTGTGACTCGTAAACGCTTTTGAAATTTTTGAAAAATCTTTCAATTGTAACGTCACCGAAAAACTGAAAATGTCAAAGTTCATTCTCATTTTCCTTAGCTTAAACGGGCGGAAATGGACACCTTCTATGGGCACTTTTTTCGGAGAATCTGAATCTGTTATCAGAATTTCCATAGCACGCTAGAAATAGTACAGGTTACTATACTTTCTTATTTTTTATGGACGCCATATTGGATTTGTACGGAATGAGATAAGAGGACACATAAAGAAAAATAATGACGTGTCGCACTATACTTTTACATAAATTTACAAAAAAACATTTTAAATCAGAAGTTTTACATTCATCGCAATATAGTGAGCGACGAATTTGAACCACCCTCTACAAAGGTCTGTCGAAACGGAGTTGAGCTAATAAGTATGTTCATGTATCAATGTTAGTTAACGTTTATTTTATTTATTTATTTATTTTTATTTACTACAAACTCTTACCGACCAATACTCAAAAAATCAAAAAAATTTGCAGATAACACTGAAATCGGTGTTTTACTTCGTGTTAGGAATAGTACGACCCTCCCTTGAAAAAGGCTCCCTCCACGAAAAATTGAAAAACTGGTTCGCTGTGGGGTGATACGGTAGAACCCTTGAGACCCGCTTTGATACAGGTGACAATTGTATGTCTCGTTCTCGTCCGAAATTTTCAGGATAATGAAGCTTGGCTCGGCTACATTAAAAACTTTCGTCATGGACGTAAATCGAGTTGTTGATAGTGCATAAGAATACAAAAAGTCAAATTCCAACTACCCTGCACACGCTATACTTTTTCCGCTTATTATTGGAGTTTTTTCGCCATCAGAATGCCACTCTAAATACTATTTAAACGTTTCTGATTTTCAACGAAAACTATTTTAGGACGGAGAGCCTGTTTATGCCAGCATTTTCGCCGTGTAACAACCGAGTTATCACTTAGCGATGAAACACTTGCATATGTTTACGGGCTGCACTAAAGCGAAAGGTCGCTATCGAAATTTTTTTTTACTAAAACTGCGTTACGTATTTTATTTCCGACTATTCGCACAATTTTATACACGAATTTAACTAGGCCTTAGTACAATTCAGACCCACAGACACTTTATAATTGTACCGCGCTTCACAAGATCCAGGCGATCGTAAAAATTGAACGGAGAACTCGCGCGCTATTGCTGTGTCAACTCGAGACATAGGCCAAAATACACTTACAAGTCCTACGTCACAGCAAGCTCGTCGAGAAATAAATGTCTTTGCTGACCCTATTACATTTATTTTTCAGAATTAAGAAAAGAAGATGTATCTGTGACCAAAGAAAATGACGTAGTATCAGTAACATGGAAAAATGCACCTAATTTTGATCATTGCAACATTACACTTCATTTGGACATATTTGATACTACTGGCCAACTATATTCAGCAAACACGTCTTTTCCCTCACACGACATTATATTTCCATTTATTGGGTGTAAAGTTTACAACTTGTCGCTTGTGGCTACTATGAACGTTTCAAGCGTCGTTCGAGTAACGTTCCCAATTGCGTTTACTAAAGGTAAGCAGGCTCAAGTTGTACATGCAGTACCTACATAGTATTATTTTTTAGAGCCCTCCCCACCTACCTGTAAGACGGCGGAAATAGGCACCTCATTCGCAGTTTTGGAATGTGCGCTGAATGATGAAGAAAGTCAGTGCGATCTTTCAGAACTGATAATCGATTGCAAAACTGAAAGTGGGCAAGAAATGAGAAAAATTGTGAATGCAGATCTCATTAGTGTGAGAATCGAAAATATGACCGCGTGCACCAATTACACTTGTGTCGCAATTGTTAAAGGTAGCGATGGCCAGTTATCGCATCCCAGCACTTCCATACCCATAGAGACAAAGGAAGGAGGTAAGTACCACCATTTGAAATCGGTTATTTACTATACTGATTTTAGTACCAGACCCACCAACACTCCACAATGTGTCTTCCATTACAAATACATCGTTTGTTATTAAGTGGGCGGCACCTACGAATATCAACGGTGTATTAACACGGTACCGCATAACCGTGGCCCCAAAAAATGCACGTTATTACATTCCCCAAAATTGTTCCTTCGACGATCGTATTCCTCAAGAATACGAAGCTGATCCTGATATTAGCAGTCTTACTGTCGCTGATGCGCTTTCCTACTATGAATATGAGGTGTTTGTTGAAGCGAAGACATTTGCATATGGACCACGAAGTGAAGTGAAACGAGTGTTAACCACTGGAGGAAGTATGATTTTAGTAATATATATAAGACTTTTAATTTATGTTATTATATTGTTGTATTGTAGTACCCGGTGAACCGCAAGATGTTGTCTTTGATCTGATAGACGACAAGAGAGTTGCCATAAGGTGGAGGTATCCATGTCCGGCAAATGCAGCAATTGACCACTTTCATATTCAGCTTTTTGGAGATCCTCAGGCCGACTACCAGGTGCCGCAAACCAATTCTACCCATGGGACTCTTGCGACGAATACATCAAGCTACCATTTTATCTTTATTAACTTACAACCGGCGTTTAATTATACCATCGCCTTGAAATCTGTAAGCGTATCGGATAATTTAGAGAGTGCTACAGTTGTGGGTAACTTCCAAACGCCCGAGCATAGTACGTACGAGCTGTGAGTGGGCACACAAACTGTCTGATTTAGTTCCAGAATCTCCCACAATAAAAACCGTGACGAAAGTAACCGCAAGAGCGTTTACCATAGAATGGGAGGAACCAGTTAGAAAAAATGGCAAAATTGTCGGGTATTACCTTCACATATTGAACAACGGTCCGAACCATCTGATCCCTACACTGTGCGCCAAGGATACAAACGCTTACGAATACTTCGTCGGTCCGAGCATTTTATCTTACAGGTTCGAAAAAGGCACGCCCAATTACAATTACACGATCGCAATACAGGCCGCTACAAAAGCAAAAAATGGCACATTGAGCGACCCGTATAATGTCGTTACGAGTGACTCAGGTAATTATATGAGCTTTCACAATGGCTGAGTAAATTGTTTGTCAATCATTGATTCAGTACAGTAATAGTTATTTATGTACGACTGCTTGATAATACGATGATTATAGTCGCTATTAGCGGCCATAATTTGCAATAATATGGCCTAGGCCATAATGATAAAGTTAAACGGCCGCCTGTCAATGTGACAGTCGTAGTTAGGAGTCGATTCAAAGTAAATTGGTTTTGAAAAATGTAGACTTGGTGGAACTATAACTATATATATTGCTAATTAATCGAAATGTTAAATACATAATTAACATTGTTACTGAACCACATATTGGTTCTAGTGATTTATTCGTACGTTCGGTGTCTTAATTGACAATCTACTGCAACTGCAATCAACGCAACGCTTCGTATTTTCATGAATGGCTAGATAAGACTTATAATATAGATGACATCTGTTGTTGCAGTCCTACATAAAGCTTTGTATATATCGCGTCCATAAATAGGCTTTATGGGGACTCGCCTTGTTTATTTGTGCCTCGCTCGCAAGCTCGCTCGGCTAAATAAACGGCTCGTCCATAAAGACCCAGTTTATGTACTTGATATATAAATAGCTATTACATAAAAGTCCAGAAAATGATACATTACTCGCGAGGAAATATTTGTGGCCGAGTACTTTAATTTCCAAGTCAGGTAATGTCATTTTAGTGACGAGTTTTGTATTAAATTTTACCCGAAATCGTATTTTAATATAAAATTTAATTTTTATATAAAACTTTTGATTAATGTCAATCTGTCTGTGATGACAGGAGTCATTATACATTTATACACATTTGGAAATGTCAAAAATGCGGCCGGTAAAGTGACGGTGCGGCCGATAAATTGACAAGCGCCAGGAAACGTAGTCTGTTCTACCTCTGTCATGGAAACCAAAATTTCCTGACAGAAAGTACGCGCATAAAAAATTTCAGGACGATTTCTTTATGTCAGGAAAGTTTAGTTTCCATGACAAAGGCAGACCAGATTGCTTTTCCTGCCGCCTGTCACTTTACCGGTCGCACTTGTCACGTTACCGGCCGCACCTGTCACTTTTCCGGCCGCACCTGTCACATTGCTAAATGTTTGTAATGGCTCTGTCATAACTGACAGATTGACATTAGTCAAATGTTCTATATGAAAATTGAAATTTTGTATTAAAATACGATTTTTAGGTCGGTAAAGTTGAACCGTTTCCCAGATCTCTCGATTTCTGAAAAAAACCACCTCTCTTTAAAAGGGATGAAAAATCTATTTTTTTACATCGTACAAAGGTGCGCGGGGTAGCAAAATTTTCGTAAGTAGGTAAATAAGCTTTTTTTGCAAATAAATTAACGTAGGTACTGGATCCGCGTTAATAAAAAGTTTTTGGAATCTGTCTTCTCTCACCTCTTTAATGTTGCTAAAATATTTTCTTTTGTTTCATAGTGCCCAACTGCCTTAATTAAACATCCTTATTATTTTACCGCAATAAAAGCAATTCGAAGTAAAATCGAATTCTTTTGCTTCCTGAACAATTTGTTTTTGTTCACTGACTCTTCTTCCTGCCTGTTTTACAGCTGATGGGATTAAGCTGGGCGTGTTGATGGTTAATTTACAGGAATTATGAATAAAATCCTCATAAAGTTTACCTATTCCTGGTTTTACATCTCAAATCATTTGCTTTAGCAGGTAAAACTACCGTTCTTATTGCAGATTTTGCAAGTTTATCAACAGGCCCAACCCAATTGCATCAGCATAAAACAGGCAGGAAGAAGACTCAGTGAACAAAAAGAAATTGTTCAGGAAGCAAAAGAATTCGATTTTACTTCGAATTGCTTTTATTGCGGTAAAAATGCAGATAAAAGAAATAAGAAAGATTTGAACATAAGATAGCAAAAGAGAATATTATTAAGCAAACATTAAAGAGAAGCAAGAAGACATCAGATTTCGAAAAAATCTTTATTAACATCCAACAATGTTGATTTATCATGTCAAACAACCGTGTACATTTTAAAACTGTTTTTCCAGTTTTTGGCGATTTTCTCGAATTTTTGCTATAGGAATAATATTTTTTTATTTTTGTTTATTAATTTATAAGCCTTCCCGAAAATTTTGCTACCCCGCGCACCTCTGCACGATGAAAAAAATAGATTTTTCATCCCCTTGCAAAAGAAGTGGTTTTTTTCAGAAATCGTGAGATCTTGGAAACGGTTCAACTTTATGGGCCCAAACAATTATTTTCTGTTTTATCATAAAACAGGCTATGTTTCCTCCAAATTTCAGACCCCTACGACATTTTTTCGCAAAAATGAGAATAAAAAACGAAAAAAACAGTTTTCTTCCGGTTTTTCTAGGAAAATTGGAGGTTATGTGAAAATAGTGCAGATACAAAAGTTGCTCATTTTTTTAATCTCTGTAACTTTTACATTTAACATTTTCGTCTAAAATTAATAATTTTGCCACAATTTGCAAAACACCACTTTCCACCCCTTTCAACCCGCGGGATTTCACCCGCGGAAAAATTCAGCTGTTTTAATTATTTTTCCCAATTTCTATTCAGTTCACCTGCCTGAAAAACCCGGTTTCGCCCGGCAACTAATTTTTTTGTAAAAAAATATATAGCCTGGACTATTATATTGCAATCTTTGTGAAGTTCCTACATTTCATACACTTGCCAGTTCAATTGATAGGGAGGATGCATTTTTCATAAGTGTGGTTGCTAATAGAAAGCAAAATGCTAGGTAAATTTCTGTAAAAAGGTCCGCCAAGTGTGATTGGAAGATTAACACCCGAATTATTGTCTCTTATTGCCTATAGTCATACGGAAATAGAAATCTGCCTCAAAAGGTTATAATTTTTCGTCGATCTATGGATTTGTGGGTGATGTGTTGTCCTGGCTCTCTTGTTAGTTGCTCTAGATTGCCACCCTCTCATTCAAAAATTGTTTGGAAGATTAACACCCGAATACCCTTGCAGGTATTTATTAACTTTAACTTTTTTTTTACTGTCAATTCACATAATTTTAAATTAAATTAAAACGTAGGTATTTGTTAAGTAGGTACAATAGATTGATAAGCTAAATTGCAATTCCTCAGTGATAATTTTGTTTTTTAACTGACAAGTGATAACACATCTCTTATCTCAACTAAATTTCTCGAGTATGTGAACTTTGTGATGCATTATGTTACCTTATGAACATCATTTTTCCAAAACTATATTTAACAAATTTAAGTTACGAAAACAAACTCAATATTCCCTCCTTTCGATAAACATAGATAAGTGGCATAAAAGATTTTCTGTCTCAAAACCAAATGGACCTTAAAAAATTCAATTTGCAGCAAAACCTCCAGTCTCCTCAAATCTTAGAAAAATGATCTTTTTTTTGGCCCTCTCAAAAATCTTGCTAGCTAGGTAAATGATTAACTAACAATTAAAGACATAAATCAGCCTTGAGAAGTCAGACACTAATCGTCTCATTTATTTAGAATCAGAAGAGGTACGGGACATAAAGATTGTATTCATTAACAAGCAACAGGAGTACTACAACGGCCATATTAACATTAATTTCCAAGTTCCTTGCAACACGAACGGTCATTTTGAACGAATAACTGTAATACTGATTGGCAATCGAGCCGACAAAGAAACCCACAAAGTTACACAAAGCATAGACTCGCTGATTCCCGAGTATAATTTTTTAATAAACGTGCAGGCCGAATACCACTACGAGTTAACTGTGCAGGTGGTTACCACAAACTTTATCACACCTACTGTACAATATTTTACGAGCCCATCGGGTGGTAAGTTATTAACTTGTACCATCGTGTACTACTACAGTTGAAACACAGTGCCACCGCTTGGAGTGTACCTTCTGCAAAAGCCAACTCAAGTAACTCCAACGCTGGCCAAAGTAAACATATCAAAGCAGCTGTTCGATGACATAGCGGGTGATGTGGTATATTATTCTGTTATAATCGGGCAGCCACCTCACGAGGAAGAACCGAAATATGGATTTTGGAAAGGGGACAGTACAACGTGGCCAGAAATACTCGCCGTTAATGCGTTTGAGCTAACACCTAAGTTTTGGAATCCGTTCTTAAGTACAACCTTACTCCAATCGCACTTGCACTTATGTATATCTATAATTACAGATGGCAGCAAGTCAGTGTACACCTGTGTAATAGGCGAAGAGGACCAGTATGCATTGCACACAAATGTATTATATGCGTTAAAAGTTAGAGGGTTTACGAAGGATGGCTACAGAGATACTGGTAGTGTCACATTCCAACTAACAGGTTGGTACAATTTTAGTATGCCATTTAGTTCACACCATGCACCAGCTACTACTTTCGAGTATCGATTCGCGCGACTGTAAATGATCAAACAAATAATGCAGACATTTTTCATGTTTTAGAAGATTACAACTCAACTGCACTCATATTAGGCTCAATCTTTGGCGTACTCGGTAGTGCAATGTTATTAGTAAGCGTTTGTATATTATGGAGGAAGAGAAGGAAATGGTAACTAAACAAGCCTACATAACAGAAGTATTCAAAATAACATTTAGGGCCATGGCAAAAGAATCGGTGAAGTCAATACCATTGTCACCAATTCCGATATCGATTAAAGGATTCCCACAGTATTACAGTGAACTGAACGGTGATGCGGAGAAATTAAAGCACGAATACATGCTGCTTACAAGTAAAAGCAATGAAATAACGTTGAGCAACTCTGTTGGTGTAATGGCACAAAACAAAAAGAGAAATCGATACACGAACGTTATCGCCTGTAAGTCTCTTTGCTTTCGCATATGTAAATGTAAAGGAACATTCCGTAGATGATCACTCGCGAGTCATTTTAAAGGAAGTTGACGATTCTGGTACGGACTATATCAATGCTTCTTACATACAGGTTGATTCTCCTGTTTATATATACACAATAAATTTTTGTCTTGAAGGGCTTTACTGGTAATGTTGAGTACATTGCTACACAAGGGCCATTAGAGCAGACTGTGATTGACTTCTGGAAAATGGTGATTCAGGAGAATGTGTCTTTGATCGTAATGGTAGCTCAATTTGTTGAACAAAACAAAGTATGTGCAATGATGGAATTTTGATTGTTACCATTTGGTTAATCTTTTAGGATAAATGTTATAAATACTTCCCTAATAACCACGAGAATATGGAGTTGGCAAACGGCTTTACAATACGCTGCTGCACCGAATTGAATTTTAACACTTACATCGTTCGAACTATAACAATTCAAAATGTAAACGACTCGCACGTTAAAAATTGTTTCCTTTAGTCTCATTGTAGGAGATAAAGCAATGGACGATCACACACCTTCAGTTTACAGACTGGCCCGATTTTGGGTGTCCCAACGGAACCGAAATCATGCTGGAGTTCTGTCAGTTAATGAGGGAATACGCCGAAAAAACGTCCGCGCCGATAGTACTGCATTGCAGGTGATTTTTTAGCGATGCTTGTGCGATTTTCAAATGTCATTTGTATTGCAGTGCAGGGGTTGGTAGGACGGGTACTCTAATAGCTTTAGATATACTATTACAAGCTATACATGATAATAAAGATATTGATATTTTCAATACAGTTTTAAATTTGCGAAGGGATAGGAAAAATATGGTTCAAACTGAGGTGAGTTCCAATGGTGATCTTTCTAAACTGACAGGTTATTTTAGAAGCAATATTTGTACATACATAGCTGTATAAATGATGCGATTGAAAATCCGCTACCTGTTAGTAATGGTAAGTAATTAGTTAAGCTCATTAAAGGTTGTGAATTGAGACGTCGGGGAAACGTTTCTTCAAGTTCACGTTGACACGTAAACATTGTAGAAACAGTCTTGAGGTAGGTTGAAACGACTAAGCGAACTTTTTAATAAAATTTCAATGCATGGAATGCTATATAATCCAGTTCAATTGTATTTTTACCAGGAAAGTTGTGGGGTAGTTTTGATTTCTTCGATTCTATATGTTTTTTGGGGTGAGGCTTGCTAACAAAATTTCATGACGCAACATTGAATTCCACTATTTAGTTTTTTTCCTCGATAAACCGTTCGGGCTCAAGCGCCAGTTGAAAATTGGCGTATTTCGGCTGTCTCCACAAAACATAGTTTTTTCGCACTAAAGCCCTAAATTAATATTAAGCGTTGTCAATAAGTGAATTCCTTGCATTTACCTACTATTATTTGAATTTTATATGTAGGTAAGGGTGTTTTTTTCTCATTTTCATAACGTTCAAGGTGTTTATTGTAGTCCAGAATTGTATGAAATAGTACATTATATATCAAGGTAGAGAAGTCCACTATTATTGCCTGAGCACCAAGATTACATCTCGAGGCGCTTGCGCCGAGGGGGGTAAGGTGCGAAGGCAATAATAGACTTCTCTACCGTGGTATATATACTATTTTTTTCACTACTAGCACTTGAAATCCTCTAAATTAACATATTATATTGATAAGAGAGTTAACGGTTGGACAGAATTGTTTGTTTCTTAATTTAACATGTCAATCAAGTACGTGGAAGTACAAGTCAAACGGGCCGAATTTTGTTCTGTCATTGAGATTTTTCAAAGAGTAATTTCGTTAGAATTTTTTCAAAATGTGATAATTTTAGGTATGTAATTTCTCTGGAAATTGCGAATGGTGGCAATTATTCGTTTTAGAGAACTTGTCTAAACGTTCATTGAGCGAGATTTCGGGTTGAGTTTTCTAAAAGTGACAGCGTGACAGTTCTCATTATTGACTACTAGTTAATAATAAAAAATTATTAACCACTTTGAACAAATGCCGAGACAGCCTACTTTACAAGTGGAAAAA